TTATTTTCATTTTCTAACTTTTTCTAAGCTAAACCTACTTTTGTTGGGGAAATTTCCGAAACCTTAATTATTTGAAAGAATTTGTGTAGGTATTTCTAAATAAAGGTCTAGCTAGCTGTTTCTAAAGTACTACATTAAATCAATAAAATTATAGGAAATTTGCTGATCAACCTTTACTTCTTGGCCAAGGGTCAATGAGGGGATGAGGGCACTGCCTGGGTGTAGGGAAGGAGAAGGTGGGGGCTGCTTTGAATCAACCGACCCTCTGTCATGAACAGACCCTCACAACCTCCGTGATAAGCATGTTGAACTCCAGTAAAGAAGAGACAATACTAATCCCCGTCAGCCTAGTCACAGGCCTTTTTGAGGTCCTGTGAAGCGCTACAAAGTCCAAGCCATTTGGGTTGTTGGTGCAAATCCCTCCCCTTCCAATGGTTCGGTGGGTGCTGATTCCTGACTCTGTGCTTGAGGACTCTGAGAGGAAAGGGTCTTGGTATCTATAATAATAAAAGCATAATATGCTAATTAGACTGGACAGCTGAACAACCTTCCAGACGACCTTCCGGACGAAGCCGGGGCTGTGAGGGCCGAGGCAAGCTGCTGCGGCTGCGAGGGCCGAGCCCCTTGCATGAATTTCGTGCATCGGGCCTCTAGTAGAACAGATGAAACTGAAGTCTCTCAAAGCAATGTGGTGGGAACATGGGCAGGCCTGGGGTCCTGCAGAACCTGCACTCTTTGTGACTTCAGCAAGCCCTTCACCTGCTTTGAGTCTCCTTATTTTTAATGACGGAGGTCAGGGGAGAAAGTGGAACCCTGGAGATGAACAGGCTTTGGTCTAAGTGCTGACTCTGCCGCCCACCAGCAGTGTGATCCTGAACAAGTTACCTAAGGACTCCAAGGCTCAGTCTCCTCACCTGGGACGATTACTAATTGTGTGTGTCACCTTGTCTGGTTAAACATTAACCTGCATACTTCTGTGGGGTGTTTGTGGATAAGAGTCACATTTAAACAAGTAGACTGAGTAAAGCAGATTGCCCTCTCTAACGTGGGTGGGCCCCATCTAATCAGTTGAAGGCTTAAATGGCACAAAAAGGTTGACCCTTCCCAAGGGAACTTTTCCTAACTGGCTGCCTTTGAATTGGGAAGTGAGCTTTTTCCTCCTGGTTCCAACTGAAATATTGGCTCTTCCTGGTTCTCAGGCCTGCAGACTCAGACTGCACTCCACCATCAGCTTTCTCTAGCTTGCCGAGTCATCCTGCAGATCTTGGCACTTGTCACCCTCCATAAGCACATGAGCCAGTTCTTTCCAATAAATCAATCTCTCTCTCTCTCTCTCTCTCTCTCTCTCTCTCTCTCCACACGCACACACACACACACACACACACACACACACACACACACACTCTACTGGATGTTTGTCTAGAAAACCCTGACTAACACGCCTATCAAAAGATAACAGTGCCAAAACTGGTTTGGCTCAGTGGATAGAGCGTCGGCCTGCGGACTGAAAGGTCCCAGGTTCGATTCCGGTCAAGGGCATGTACCTGGGTTGCAGGCACATTCCCAGTAGGAGATGTGCAGGAGGCAGCTGATCGATGTTTCTCTCTCATCGATGTTTCTGACTCTCTATCTGTCTCCCTTCCTCTCTGTAAAAAATCAATAAAATATATATTTTTTAAAAAAAGATAACAGCTACCCACCGTTGTTCCAAGGATTAAAGATTATATGTATGGTATGCCTGGCAGATAGTAGATGCTCAATAAATGATAGCCATTACTTCCTCCAAAGTTGTTTCCATCTTTAAAATCCTCTCCTTTGTGTGATGTCTTTAGCAGATGACAAGACAAAATTAACTGGTCACACCTTCATCTTTACCTACACGGGGGGGTGGGGGGGATTCCTGAATTGTTTAGGTCTCTGCCTCTCAGAGGCCACGTGGGCCACAATAAATAGAAACCTGACTCAAGTCCAGCCACTTGGGTGTAAGCACCTGCTGAACAGACTATGCTGTGGCTTCCTTCTGAATGTCACTGGCGTGGATGTGCTAACTCAGCAGCTAAGGGGGGAAATGAGACAGCTGGAAGGCAACTGGACAGAGTGGCAGGATCCAAAACATCTGATGGGTTTCCAGCAGGGTTAGGACGGCCGGCGATTGGGGGAAAACTACTTGTGAAACTCCATTAGTCAAAGGGACGGTGGGTAAAATGGCGGCTCTGAAGCCTAAGACACTCAGCTGGGCAGAAGGAAGGAGCTGAAGTCAAGCCTACAGACCCCACATAAGTCTGTGAACTTCATTTGATCAAACTGAACTCCTAACCCCGTCTAGGAAACCTCTCACGTTAATGGAAAGTTAAGACCCTCGGAGCACCAGGCCAGACTGCCCCAGCTGACAAGTCCGCTCGTTCCCTGGCGCTAGCAGATGAGACCTGCCTCTGGAACAGTGACCCGAACTGCAGAAGCCAAGCGTTCTCAGTCTTGACAGCACATCAGGAGCACCTGGAGGGCTTGTGAAAACAGACTCCAGGGCCTCACCATCCGCGTTCCAGGTTCGGGTCTGGATGGGATCCGAGTTTTCCTAACAAGTGCTCAGTTCATACTGATGCTGCTGTTCTGGGCACCGCGCTTGCAGAACTGTTGAAATAAGCTAGAAACTAGGTGTGCTGTGCACGGAGCCCAAACCGATTTCCCGTCAGTCACTGTGGTGCTAGCAGAGCCCCCACCCCTCCCACAAACGGTCCCGTGAACTAAGCAAGTGTGACATTTCTGGAAAGACACACGTACAGGATCGTGGAATGTGTTCATAGCAAACCTATGAATTTGACCTCCCACCAATTTGGAAATGGTAGCCATTCAAGGTGTATAATAGAGAATCTAAATTCTGATTAAGATTCTTGATGGTAATAGAGACTTATGGCTGATGAGACATGGTGCATTGGGGGCCAACCTCTAAAAAGTCGAATTCACCAGGATGGGGTCCAGGAATGTTAACTGTACAAAGCTTCCCAGGTGATTCTCATGCAGCAGCCCAAGACAAGGCTACTGTGAGCCTCTGAGAACCACGGGCACCCTGGAGAGAGTGCAGTCTGATGACTTCTCGGTCAGTCACCTCACTCAGCAAATGCAGGATGACAGCTTTGTGTCAGCCTCGTACACACTAGTTGTTTAATAAGCGGGTGTTAATTTGTTTGTTGTGGCAAAAGCTAAAGGGAAGGGCCTTGAGAGGAGGCCTTAGAACTCTGTCTGCAACCAATCAACCTCAGTCATTTACCAGCTTCTAGCACACAGTAGAAGCTCAATAAAGACTTGCCGACTGGATGGATGGATGGATGGGTGGGTGGATGAAAGGCCTGAAGAATTAGGAGCCCAGGAAATCAGCTCTAGAGCTGGAGTTAAGGACCTACCTCCTGGCTTCAGTTGTTACCTGGAGATCACAAGTGGGGAAGCAACAGCTGCAGCTCAGGCTGTGATAAGGCTCAAGGGGGACAATGTGCATACGTGACGTTTAATGAGTGTTAGCATACCCGCCAAGCAGGTCCAGGAATCAAACCTCAACAGCTGAAATGCTGAGCCAAAATCAACAAGATATCATTCCCCAGGGATATGAAATTCAAAGCATTTGGACTTAAAAAAAAAATAACCTAGCATTTAATGTGGGAGCATAGCTTAGCAACTGTGCAACTGAAAAGATCTGAAGATTTAATTTACTATATTCACTATGAGTCCATTGTTATAGAACCACTAAAAATATGTCACTACTTCAGAATTTGTACAAAAACAAAAAAAAATTTCACATATGCATCATCCACATAGTGGAAGCCATGGTTCTATCTGAGTTGGTCCAATTGGTATGGACACGCGCTGTCCTATCTGAGCACCACGTGTAGAAGGGGAGAGACAACTCTCTCCAACTCTGCACTGTGGCCACGGCGATAAGGTGGAGTAGAATTACAGATAAAGTGAGGATTTCATCTCGACATCCATTCAATCCCCTGAGCACTCTGGAAGTGTTCTTCCAGGAGCTTCATGAAAGTGTCAGGTCACTGTCTCTGCCTCTCCTCACCTCCTTCCCGTGCTCGTCCTAACCCGCAAAAATCTAACTGCTGCCCCCACCACGCCACTGCATCTGCTCTCTCTCTGGTACCTGCTGACCCACTGGCACATCCGCACCGCTGAGATGTGACCAGCGAAGGTGAGGTTGTCCTGAAGGAGGACAGGACGGGCTTCTAATCCAAGGACTGATGTTCTTACAAGAAGAAGAAATTTGGACACAGAGACAGACATGCACACAGGGAGGGCACCGTATGAAAACTGCAATTATGGTGCCACCAGCCAAGGAACTATCAGAAGCTCGAGAGGCCTGGAACAGAGGCTTCCGGAGTTAGAGTGTCCGTGGCCCTGCCGGCACCTTCATCACGGACTTGGCCTCCAGACTGTGAGACAACACATGTCTCTTGTGTAAGACCCCATCTGGGGCGGCCCTCTCACTTCCTCAACGCTCCCCACCTACCCTCCATCATGCTGCCTACCACTCTGAGTTGTTACTGACCAGAATTCTTACTAATGTGCCCGCCTTGCTCACTGTGTGAGCTGTGACCACATGCTGCTCACTCCCTGGCCCACAGGATGCTGCTGGGTGAAAGGCAACTGGAAGCAGGGCTGCCTCGGGGCCTGCAATCCCGAGAT